AGGACCAGCCATAACTCACTGAATTTCAAATTTATTGGCCTTAAAAATTTGGAAAAATGCAATTCAAAAAATAGAAATATAAAAACAAAATAATATTCATAAATTTACACCATTTGCATTTTTACCAGAAAATTAAACTCATCATCATAATTATCAAATACAACAATTTAAATCTTAAATTTGATTTAGTATAATCTTACTCATTAGTATTCTATACTTAAATCATGTTCATTGACCCTCGTCTCATTCTCTAATTCCTTCCTTAAAATTCTTTTCTTTAAAAGTTTACTAATATGAAATTTTTTGTATATGTCTCTTTGCTTATCTTTAATGTGTATTAGATAATTATTATTCCTAAATTTTTTGGTGATTCTAAATGGACCTTCATATTTTGGTTCAAGAGATTTAACATCTGTATTTATTTTTAAATAAACAAGATCCTTACAGTCATAATTAGGAGTTGGTCTACCCTTTATGTATTTCTTATGTAGATCAAAATATTTATTCTCATTAAGGCTTACAATTTCCCTGGTTTCTGCAATATGTTCTCTTAATTTCTTGATGTAATTAGATGGGTTTTCTTCATTGTTGTCATTAACACTTACATTTAAAGGGAGATTTAAATTTCTACCAAAAAATAATTCTGCAGGAGTGTATCCTGTAACTACATTTATTGAAGAATTATAATGTAATTTAAAAAATAAGAGCTTTTTAGTCCATTCCCAACTATTGTTACACATTGAAGCTATGGATTCTTTTAAAATTCTGTGAGATCTCTCCAGTAAACCATTAGACAAAGGATAATAAAAGGAAGTTTTTCTATGTTCAATATTTAATGATTTCAAAAAATTTTTAAACTCATCAGAGGTGAAATTAGTGCCATTGTCACTAATTATTTCCTGAGCTAAGCCAAAATTAGAAAAATATTCATTTAAGCAATTGGTTATGTTAATTGATTTTATATTTGTTAAAGGAATAACTTCCAAAAATCTTGAATAATTATTGATAATTGTTAAAATTAAAAATTTGTTGTCAATAGACCTAGGCAATTTTCCTACAATGTCAATTGACAATCTTTGTCCCACACCGAGATTACTTTTCTCAATAAACTTAGTTTCTGTTATTTTTGATTTAGGTTTATTTGCAAGACAAGCATCACATGACTCAACAAAATTTTGTGTATCAGCTAACATGCCATACCAGGAATAATTTCTCTTTATTAAATTGTATGTTTTAAAAGTTCCAAAATGTGAAGCATGAGCTACTACCTTAAGAATTTCAACTCTTAAGAGATTCAGGTACAAAAATTCTACTAATAGTTTTATGAGGATGTTTAGGAGGTTTAATTCTTATCATAAGTATACCCTTGTCATTCACAAAAAAATTTTTGAAGTGAATTTGTCATTGATTTTAAGTTTTTATAATATTTCTTTAGTTTTGTTACAATTTTGTTGGATTTTAATTATATTCTCAATTTTAAGATTTTCATTCACCTCAAATATATTAATATTATTAACAACAACCTCAGTAATGGGCACTCTGGATAGATAATCAGCAGGATTTTTTAAACCTTCTATATGCTTAATTTGAAAATTAAATTCCTGTAAATACATAAGCCACCTACTCACAATCTCTGGTTGTTTTTGCAAATTAATATGATAAGTTAATGCTTTCGCATCAGTTAAAACAATGAATTCTTTACCATGAAGATGTTGATGGAAATGTTTAACTGAATCAACAATAGCTAAAAGTTCTCGCCTAATTGATGGATATTTGTACTCTGCAAAAGTCAGTTGTCTGGAGTAAAATTCTATAGGTACAAAATTTTCCTCAATTCTTTGCATTAAAATACCACATAAAGAATTATTAGAGGCATCAGTAACAATATAAAATTTTTTACTATCAATATTTTTTAAAGTAGGTACAAGTAGTAATTGTTCAGATATGTAGTTAAAGGCTTTCTGGCACTCTTCATTCCAATTGTACTCAATATTTTTTTTAGTTAAATTTACTATTGGTTTAACAATGTCAGCAAAATTATAAATTAGATGACGAAAATAATTAATCATGCCTAAAAAAGTTTGTACTTGCTTGACATCTTTAGGAATAAGAAAGTTAACAATTTTTTTTACATTATCTGGAGCTGGGGAAAAACCTTTGGCATGAAGTTTAAAACCTAAATAAACTATTTTAGATTTACATATTTGAATTTTTGCAGGATCTAAAGTTAAGTTGAATTTTTTAAGTCTGTCAAAGACTTTACACAAAAAATTAATCATCTCTTCTATCGAATTAGCAGCAATAACTATATCATCTAAAAAAAATTGTACATTAGGCCCTTTTATATCATCTAAACACTTTGAAATTAAATTGTGGAAATATGAAGTGCTGTTACGAGTTCCAAAAGGAAGACGAGTGGGTTGAAAATTTCTAATCTCGCAACAAAATGCAAGTTTGGCCCTATCCTGTTGTTTTAATTGGAGTTGAAAGAATGCACTCTTTAAATCGAACACTGTGTAGAGTGCCTTGCCAGAAATCTCGTGTAAAATATCATTGATCTTAGGTAAACAAATTTTAAATGTCTCAGTTACAGAATTTATCAAGCGATAGTCAATGACCATGCGGAATTTTTGTAAATTTGGATCATTTACAAAAGGTTTTTTCTTAACAAAAATTACCGGAAAACAATAATCCAAGAAATTTTGAATCTCTTTTTTAGCAAATGATTTGGCAATTTTAGGAATTGGATATGGCTTAGTCTGAATAGGAAATTGATGTAATAATTTAAATTCGGGGATAACGGCGTTAGTAGAGCCTAAAGTAGCATAAGATTTTGAGAAAACCTCAGCATTATCCATTAAAATTTTGAGCATCTTGTCTGCATCGTCCTTATTCAAGTGTTTTAAGTCAAAATCGTTGGTATTGATCTCCATTTTTCTAAGTTCATGAATCTGCTCTAAATTTAAATTATTCATTTGAAATTGCTCATCTTCAGAAGGAATCATAATGTCCTTTTCCTCAATTTTGAATACTTTGCCAATTTTAGTACCTTTATTAATAATTATTTTTTTGTCAGTATTATTCTCAATTAGAGTTGCAAAATCTTTACTATTAATTTCATTTATAGATTCATAAATTGTTTACTTAAGTTTATTACTAATAGGAGAAAATAAGATTTGTCTACAATTGCTTATATCTTGAGATACAGTTAGTTTAATTAATTTTTTGGGGATTAGGCTCAATTATTATTTTCTCGGATGCACAAGCAATATTATCTTTATCTAACTGCACATTATTACTTATATTATTTATCACACGAGGAGTATCTTCAAAAAATTCAAATGACTCGTGCCCCATAATTAGTTTCCTATTCGGTGTGTCTAAAATGATTTTGTTATTTTGGATAAAGTCGTATCCTAAGATAATTTTATATTTGTAATGCCAAGAATTTTGAGTCACAAAGAAAGTTCCATTAAACCATTTAGTATTGATTTTAAATTTGGATGAAATAGCTGACAAGTAAGGTATAGTGTTGTTATCTAGAGTATGTATTCTTACTGATCGAGATAAATAATTAACTTTAGTCTTTTCTTTTATTTCATTCACAGTAACAGGAGCTATTAAACTTAAATTAGCACCAGTGTCTAATAAGGCGGGTATTAATAAATCTTCAAATTTTAACATTATGATAGGAAGAGCATCCGAATTGTCATTATCATTGCATGTCATAACATGCTTATTCCCTACTTCTACTTCATTTATTTGTTTTAATTTATCATTGTTTTGATTTATTTTATTTCTAATTATCTGACTACTATTTAAATTATGATTAGAATTTGTTACTTCCTGATTTTTTTTATCGTCATTATCTGAATTAAAATTTTTATGCTTGATATTACTATTAACAAATATCCTACTTTTATATTTTTTGTCATTATGTTTTGTTTATGGATTTCCCTCTTTTTCAATTTCTCATTGGTTCTTGTAAACCCTGTATCCTTCCACCTGTTACAAGAACCAGCGATCAGTTTAAGGGAACAGGGTAGTCCTCGTTAACGCAAAATAAGTAAAACCAGGACTTTTGGTAAAATAGCCATAACTCCTTAAATATACAACATATTTGCTTGAAATTTTCAGTGAATATATATGACACAATACCAAACATAACTACATTAGTAAAATAAATCTAACCTGCAGTATTTTAATATTATAGATGATTATTTATCATGAAAATATCTTTGAAATTTTAGAACTTGAGCTTCATTAGGTACGCTCGTAGAAAAAACTAATGCAAATACAGCATTCAAACTATTTTTCTTTTTATGAGAACAACTTGTTTAATCATTTAAATATGTATTTGAATTAAAAAATATCAGAAAATTTTTTTAGGAGACTTTATGCTAAGAATTAGAAAATTTTTAAGATTTTTTTACCAAAATTGACTAACGTTGACATAAAAAAATTTAAATTTCTCTCTTTTATCATATTTAATATGGAAAACTAAGGCTCACAAACAATGTGGCCAAATCTCATATCAATAGGGTGCATAGAAATTTTGCTAAGCGTTCCTAAGTACATGAAAATGACATTTTGAGAAAAATGAGTTTTAAGTAAAAATTCCCTTTACAAATTAAATGCAATATTTTAAATTATTAATTCTATGTTTAATATATGAAACTGAAACTTTTTAACAATTTTGATATATTTTAGATGACCTAAAGACATTTTATTTTTAAAAAAGGCCTTAATTGTAAAAAAAAAAACAAGTCATTGAAAAACACGACATTCTTATAAAAATCTCTATTGCACACAAAAATTAAATAGTTGTGATAAATTTAAATGCATTTCTTCTCACAAAATCATAAATCTATACTTGGCAAATAATTACACCAAATTGCACATCAAAATAATAAATATATTTGTAAAAAATTAACATTTAGCTTTAAAATCAGAAGTGATATTTTGAAAGAGAGGGAAAAAAAACATACAGTACATAAAAATTAATGTGCCCCTCCACCATATTCTGTTTTATCCTTTTTAGCTTCATGCTCTTCCTTCATTTTTTTAATTTTGTTAGCTGTTCTGACAGCTTTTGAAGAATTTTTTGAAACATTTTCTGCTTCGCAAATTCGTATATGATCAATGGAACAGAGCGCCTTATGAGTATAGAAGCCTGGATCTATATTCAGGTCCCTTAAAACTTGTGTTCTAGAAACACTTCCATCGTTGAAGCAAATAACTGCGTCCATTACACCTATTTGTAAGGTTTTTAATCCAAGAAATGTGTTTTTGGGAATTCGCTCCCACACGCAATTGTTCAAACTTTCGTTAGGGTTTTGTGTTCGCCCATGAAGGCAATTCTCTAAAAGTGATAGGCTGCTCAGGACTCTAAAAACAGGCTTTATTTCAAGCATTACAGCTTCTGGAAGGGAATGTTTATGATCGTAAGTTTTCCCCTCCTGCATGGCTTTGTTGTACATGCACCAAGTTTCCGAGTCAGTTGGGCAGAGACCATGCTGCGGTAGCTCATTAGTTGAAAGTTTGTGAAAATATATTGACCAAACTGCCTCTGACATCTCTTGCACACTTTTCCGAACATTTCTTCTAATGGCTAAACCATAATAATTTTGTATCAATAGGATCTCCTTGTCTGTTAGCCTGTCTTTTCCACCGATCACTTTATTATCAGATAATTTTTTTGTTTTCAACGAATTTTTTAACTTTTTTAGGCGGTTGCCCATTCTTTTTTGGACATGGCCCACACACTCAAGTTTTTCGATCGTAACACCATGCCCATACACTTCACTTTTATTAACATCTTCGAAAGCCCTGGAATCGCCATCACCTAGGTACTGCACGTACCTCACACCTCGAGATGAAACAGAACGTTGGAAAATCTCTCTAACAACTGCACATTCCATTCCACCACTAGTTCCCGAATAATTACTTGTGCATATATGTGTAGCTTTATCTTCGCCAATAGCACATTTGGAACAATATTTGGAGAAGCATTGAAAATCGATGACTTTCCCGGCTTCTAAACTTGTGGCAGTCACAACCCCATTTAACGAGGTATGACCACGTTTCTGCCACGATCCATCAAATGCAGCAGCTATATCTTTATCTCCACCATTTAACATTACTGTTTCTTCGACAGCTTGCAACATTGATTGTGTGGAAATTTTTTCCAAACTACTTGAAAGAATATCATTATAAGCTTGGAATCTAGTAGAAGGAGGAGGGAGATTTAACATCGCACATAAAGTTTTCGCAGCCTTCTTCCCTTTACCAATGCAGCGAAAACCATACACTGCTCTAACATTAATATCATACAAATTGGAATTTAATTTTGAAGACATTGCACTGGCAGCATTCCCACAAAATTTACATATTAGTACAACACTTACTGCCAAGCCTCTTNACTCTCGAATCAGCGGCTTTTATGTATGGATCGTGACGAAAATTTGCATACGAGCTCTTCTTCCCATAATATGCAAATAATATCTCGCAACAGGTATGGAGCTTTCAATGCACTCGCGAATATAAATATATATATATAATGTGTGCGTATCCGCATACCAACCAATATTAAGCAATAACGTCCCCATCCTTTCGTTTGGTTTTAAATTCACCCGCAACATAGGATAAGCTCAATCCAGTTTTTTTTTCCTCGAAGTAAAAATAACTGTTAACAGACCACAAATTATTAAATTATATAATAATTTGCTGTCTGTTAACTTTTGTTTATAGTAATTAAAGTTAGACAATGACTTGTGACTCTTAACTTTAGTTATAGTACTTAACAGTCAGACAATAACTTTCTGCGAACAAGTCTTCAAATTTCACAAGTTTTCAAAAAGTTATAACTTTTCTTAAATGTGGAGCCACTACGTCAACAATTTCGCAGCCTTCTTCCCTTTACCAATGCAGCGAAAACCATACACTGCTCTAACATTAATATCATACAAATTGGAATTTAATTTTGAAGACATTGCACAGGCAGCATTACCACAAAATTTACATATTAGTACAACACTTACTGCTAAGCCTCTTCTAGATTTTTCTTCTTGGCAAAGAGATATACAATTATCTTTGTCACAAAATTTGCATCGAACAAATTATGTTATCAAATTGGAGATTATATCCAAATTTAAAATAGCATTCACATCATTTTTATCAAACTTCTTATCATTTAATGTAACTCTGCTGGAGAGTTTTATTTTTGAAGCACTTTCATTTTCCACCACAATTTGAGGCACTTCTTTTTTCCAATTATGTTGATTTTGATGCGATTTCCTCTTACCAAATGTTTTTGTTCTGGCCATATTCCCCAGAAAATTATTGTTAGCGCAATAAACAACAAAAAAAGCTCGCTAAAATTAAATCAAAAATAAAACTTTTAAGATATAAATCGTAAAAAAAGCATATGAAATAGCAACGTGTTTTAGAACAAGCAGTTTCAAAACAACAACGAAAGTAATGATAGATTGATCAGTAATTAAAGATTATTTTGAATAAAACTTCAGCTTATAGCTTACAGGGATGTTAATTTCTCATGTTCCACTGCCTAGAAGCTAAGTTTTAGCAGTGAAAATAAGAATTAAACATCAAATATAAAAAGGTTTCGGTTTTGAAATAACCGAAAGCACTCAAAAGGGGGCGTGGCACTTTTGTTTACTTTCTTTATTTCATTTTTTTTTAATGGTTAAAATTGAAATTTTTTCAAAAGAATGATATGAATCAATAGCTCACGGAACCTAGTTTCATATCCAACCAAAATTGAAAAATCGATTTTTTTGAGGCTTATGGCTACCCTGTCCCCTTAAGCATAAACATGATTCACTTGATGAAGTTAACAGATCTGCTCAAATTTTTCCATTTTAAATAATTGGCTGCAGGTTTTTTAGGATCCATTTACGAAAATTATTATATTAACAGACTTGTCCAACTTTTTATTTTGGTAAGGTTGGCATTTTTTTTTATCGCAACCGTGGCATAGCGCAAGAGAAAAATTTTTTATTGTGATTAATATATTGAGACAAATTTGATAACCTATAGGTGCCTTTAATTAACCTTTTTTTTATTATTCATGTTTCATAAATTATGCTTAAAATTAATTTTCTATGTTTACCATGCTATATTGACTCCAGTGCCTTCAGATG